CTGTTTCCAGATAAGTCTCTAAAAGCAAAAGCACTAACGGTTGGTACACTGGCTCTTCATGTATTCAGGCCACACAATGCATATCTAGCTGCCTCACACAGATTATACATCTGTCTTACAGGTGTTTGCTCTCTTGCACACCTCCAGGACAGAGGTTTACAGAACAAAAGTACCCAGTCTATGCTTCCAATTACACTTACCACATAAAAACAGCTGGCACTGCAGGGAGACAGAAGAGATTGCACAGCACACTGACCTCCAAAGGCATTGAACTCAACAGTTTAGAGCGCAAAAACACCTTTAAATGAAAGGGTTTATTAGCTTTAGGGCAACAAAGAGAAAGGAAAGAGAAGCCTCAAGAAGAGTATAATTGCTGAGCATCCTTAATGTGATTTTGTAGTCTCCCATATGAAAATGTTACCTAAATACTAGTACCACAGGAGTGTGGCCACAGTCCAGAAGTCTTGCCCACCTTCTTGGCTTTGATAGTTTTAAAAGAGAAAATATTTCCATCGCTTACTACACAACAAGAACATTTTGCATTTGAGGTCCCAGGCAGATACATTAATAATGTAAAACTCCAAGACAATATTTCAATATAGAGTGAAGGTGTTTTGGTTATAAATCAAACAGCCCACACTTGACCTCAATTAATCCACTCTAAGGCAATGCAGCTTCTAAGTTGTGTATACACAGTTAGCGCAGTTACAAGACAGATTGTTACCTAAACAGTTCTTACAGGTTTAAGAAAATTGAAAAACTAATTCCAGCTCTTCTAGTCACAAACTGAAATATCACTAAAGCGCTGAGAGAAAACAAAACCCTGCAGGTCTCCAGTTATAAATGACACATCGCTCAACTAATTACAGGGACATGTTTGCTACCCCATAATCCCTATTAATGTCATTTCTTGAACATAATGACCACCTCCCTTGCAGAACAACTGCTGAAGTCAAAAGGGGCAGTGGAGATTTGATGTCATTATGCACTGCTACCAATTTACTTAGCTTGATACTTTATAACTATTGGTCATCCTCTTCTCAAAATTCACTTCTGGTGGGCAAAAATAAGGACGACTATATCCACTGTTCATAAAAAGCCAAAACTTTTCCACTTTGCAGTTCGGTTAAAAAAAAGACAAATGATGCCGTTCATATCCTTGGCCCTAGAGGGTGCAGCTGCCGAGGCTGCCAGAGCCGAGGCTGGTGATCCAAAACTGCGTTCTTGCTACAATGGATGGGGTCACGTTTGCCTATAAATGACCTTTTTTTTTTGCCCCTCAGCTGAAAAAGTGGATTTCAGAGTGATCCCAGGGGTTTTTGCATGATGAATAAAAGAGAATTCATTACAAGTCTCTAACGTGACACAGACCTTCCCCAACTGCACTCTCGGAGAGCGATGACCCACAATTTTACTCATTTGCTACTGCCTCAGGAAAGGCTGCCAGCCCTGCGGTTGCGCTGCAGCGAGCCTGCCACGCAGCGCTCCTTTTTAAAACAGATGGACCTAAAAAGAGCTAGCAGCAGTACTACAACAGAACAAGGGCACTTTAATCTCTGTTTGCTGCACATCGAGGAAGTATAAGTCCTCTCTTTCTTGACACTTACTAAGTAAAACAATTTAGCATCAGTCCCTTTCATCAGCATGGGCTATCACATATTAAACAAGCTAATATAACCTGAGGGACAGAAAGTTCACAAGTATTGTCTCACATTGCCTCAAGTTCTTTTGGTTTTAGCCTGAATAAGTTCCGTGTTCTACTTGTTCAAGTTTCCAGGACCAAAAAATAAATAAATAAAAATTCAACAGCCTTCCCACCAGATAGGGATTCAGACTGATTTCTACTATTCTTGGGGGAAGGGCCTTTTTTGATTTCTAAAAAGTTGCTCAGCAATTTTAAAAAGTACTTCCAGGTTCATTCTGCCTTCACAAAGAGGATCCCAGCAGCCTTGCACTGAGCCTCTTCAGTATAGGCAATAGGAGCAGAGCTGAGCTAAACAAAATCAATGGAAGATGTTTCCTAAAGCTAGTTAGCACCAATCAGATCAGCGTGTTTCTTCAAGTTAGCACCATATCAGCATGTTCCTTCAAATCAACACCAACCAGATCAGTGTGTTTCTTCAAGTCAGCACCAGATCAGCATGTTTCTTAAAGTCAGCACCAGATCAGGACTGGATTTTACAGTATATTCCAGCAGGGAAAGAAATAAATATTAGTAGCAAACTTCATAGTGAAGGACAGACGTTATCTTCTCATAGCAGCAAGTTTTGATCACTACATTCATCACATTTCTCCTTCTTACTCTAAAATGTCTAGGGAGAAAGCTGGTGACGCACACGGATGAACACAGGCAGATCAAAAATCAAGTTCCTCCATCAGCCATGTCAAAGGAGTTCATTTCTTACTAAATGTAAAACAAATGTTGGGAAATAACAGCCTGGCAGAGAAGGAAAGCAGCAGCAGGAGTCATCCTGATTTTAACGAGGTTTCTAACAAAGGGAGGTGGTATCAGAAAACAGATCAGAAGTCTGATCCTCATGAAAGAATACAGTGTTGGCATACTCAACTTTGTTGTGAAAAAAACCCACTGTACACAAATTAGTTACTAAATTGCACTGTCATAATTAAAGCATTATCTAATCTGGTTCTGAAAGGGTCTGCCATGGGCCTGAAACTATTTTTCATTTACTTGATGTTACAGTGAAATATAAGTTTAGGTTTGCAAATATCAAGCTAAGGCTGTTGCAAGCTCACTGGAGGACAGGATGAGAATTCAAACTAAGTTTTGAACTGACAAGCTGAAGATAGGTCTGAAAAAAACATGTGATTTCAGTAGAGACAAATTTGCGGGCAATACAAAACCAGGAGGAGTTGCTGTACACCAGAGAGTTTTGCCATTCAGAGGGACCTGGACAGGCTGGAGAATTGGGCTAAGAGGAATTTAGAATCATAGAATCATAGAATCATTCAGGTTGGAAAAGACCCTTGGGATCACCGAGTCCAACCATTAACCCTACTCTGCAAAGCTCACCCCCAAAACGATCTCCCCCAATATCACATCTAAATGACCTTTAAACACATCCAGGGATGGCGACTCAACCACCTCCCTGGGCAGCCTATTCCGATGTCTGACTACATCTTCTGTGAAAAAAAACACTTTTCCTAACGTCCAGTCTATGTCCATGAAGTTCAAGAAGGAGAAGTTACAACTCCTACACCTGGGGAGAAACAACTCCATGCACCAGCATAGGCTGGGAAGCATCTGGTTGGAAGGCAACTTTGCAGAAGAGGCCCTCTGGGGGTCCTGGTGGACACCAGGTAGAACATGAGGCAGCAACGTGTCCCTGCTGCAAAGAAGGCCAATGTTATCCTGGGCTGCATTAGGCAAAGTATTGGCAGCAGGTCAAGGGAGGTGATCCTTCCCCTCTGTTCAACACTGGTGAAGCCACACCTGGTGTGCTGTGTCCAGTTCTGGGCACTGTCCAGTACAAGAGAGATATGGACTTACTGGAGCAAGTCCAGTGCAGGGCCACAAAGATGATAAAGGGACTGGGACATCTCTCATATGAGGCAAGGCTGGGACTGTTCAGTCTGAAGAAGAGAAGGCTTGGTGGGACATCTTATTGATGTGTATCAATACTCAGTGGGAGGGAACGAAGAGCGCTACTCTCCTCAGCAGTGCTCACTGGCAGGACACAAGACAATGGACAGAAATTTTTAAAAAGGAAATTCCACCTGAACACAAGGAAGTATATTTTTTTTACAGGAAACAGGTTACCGAGAGATGTTGCAGAGTTTCCACCTGTGGAGATACGCAAAACCCAACTGGACACAGTGCTGGGCAACTTGCTCTAGCTGACCCTTCTGGAGGAGGGGACGTTTGGACTAAATGACCTCCAGAGTTCCCTTCCAACTTCAACCATTCTGTGACTGATTCTGTGAAACAGACTGAACTAGGAAATGGGTAAGAATCAGAGAGAAAGGTTATGGTAGACCAAATTGAAAATTATTTGCTGCTACAAAAAAAAACAACGCCACATTAGGATGTAGAAAACAGAAATCCTTGTACTGTATGCTACTCTCAGAAGACACCAGCTGGAATGTCACCTCTAGTTTTGAGCACCAGATTTCAGGATACAAATGCGTCTGCTAAAGAAAGATCCTCTTCAGCAGAAGACAGCGATCAGAGATCCTTAACAATTTATGAGGAGCTTAATCTGGAAACAAGAAGCTGGGAAATTATATTCAAGTCGTAGACTTGCAGAGAGGAAGGAAATAAACCGCCCTCTGCACCCTCTGTGCACATATAGTTTACACAAAAAAACACATCAAAAAAACCCAAAGAGTGAAGCCCTAGATTTCCTCCAGAGGTCATTCAGCCTCCACTACAGGCTTTTAAGAACAGGTAAAGCGCCTCTAAGGAAGTGACAGTGGTATAATGGAGTTATAGGAGAGAGGTGAGGGAGTACTACAGATTCCAGATCCCTTGGAGCCCTTCTTCATGTTTACATGAAGTGACAGAGCTTCAGGGAAGAAAAGATTCAACAGTCTGAGGCAACCACCTACAGCTATAGCTTCCTATCCCTTTAACTCACTAGCTCTTAAGTTTTCCCAGGTGAACTAACAATTCACAGAATTCATTAGATCAACACTATCCCCTGTACCTTAAAGAACTAAGCTTGAATAGATTGGCTCAGTACAGAAGTAAACAGTTCCATGACCTGTGTGACACAGGCCAGGTAGGCCTAAATATTTCCTTCACTTACATTGCTAAGACATTAACTTCTGATGGCTAGGAATCACAATTTGGCTTACAAGACCAAGTGAAAGTGTCTAGTTCATAGGAGAAGGCAGCTTTTACTGAGAGTTTGACCAAGGAAAGATGAATACCCTGTATACATAAAGAACTCGGTGAATATAAAGAAGATACCATCTTTTTATTCACCTCAACAACAGAAATTAGGTCCTATAAGCAAAAAAAGAATATCCAGGTCAATCTAGAATCTTCAGGCATGTTCCAGTTTCTCCATTAATAATCAAGATAAAAATATTTTAAAATTGTGATGCGAGTTTTCACTTTCTCTCTCGTCACACAAGATACAAAAAAGAATATTGGCAATTTATAAGCAAAATTCTTACCGCATTTCAACATGCAACATTGGTCTCACTTCTGTACGATTAAATAGACTATTTACACACAATACATATATATCTTTCCCTCTGTATGCACATGCATTGGTCCTAGCCTAAGCATCAAAGGCCACATGTGAGTTCTCTGGGTCAAATCTCGTTCAAGCAATTCCAGTCTGAATGTGTGTTTTCCTTTGGGTAGCTTAGGGTCTCATCTCAGTTCTTCCGAATATCAGCATAGACCACAGACTCTGACTTGTTAATCTTGTCGCTGTGCTGTCCTCCGGAGTGATCTAACTGCGCGTAAATGACTGGGCCCTGGGAACAGAATAAAAAAGCACAGTCAGTATTTTTCAGAATAGGCCATACTGCCCCTCGCTTCTGCAGCATGACCGAAGCTAAAGCAAGACCACAGAACTTTCATGACTGCTACCAGCACTTTGAAGCAGGTGGAATGAACCCTCACCCACAAATGAGCTCTAGTCTGCCACCTTTCTCCTATCAGGAACATGCCAAACAGCACCCTTCCCTCCCTTTGATACTGTTACACCTGCTTGCTTCTCACAAAAAAGCAAAATCTGGAATCCATTGTTCTGAAAAACAGCAATTCTTACATGCTATGGAGTAAAGATACATGGCTCAGTCAGATGCATGCCAGATTTAATGTTTTTCAAGAGGAACTGTACTACAGCTTCACCAGGAGACAGTGGAGCCCACCTCCCACACTGCCACTCCAGCCCTGTGAATCCCAGCACGGTGGACCACACAGATCACGAGGGAGAGAACAAACCTGCTGCCACCTTACGACACCAGTCACTGCCCAAGTAAGTGATGAGATCGAGACTTACACAGTAGTGAGCCCGAAAATACCGAAACGGTGCAGTAATGCAGAATTCTTACCTGACTTTTAAGCCAACCCAGGTAGCGGGCACCTCCACAGACACTGTGCAAGGACAGCCACACACCTTTGTTATATTTGCCCGGGTGCAGCAGAGGACATTACAGCACCATCTTTCAGTAGAGCACGCAAACACGCCTGTGCCTTCCTAAAAAAATTTCCAAAACACAGCCCACAGGAAAGCGAACTGCAGCTGTTCAAGATGGGCTGAGGACAGGACTGCAGCCTATAAAGAGCAGGTACCCAACAAGACAGGCCGGATCTTTATAGAAAGGTCCAACCTGCAGCTCCCATCCTGCGTGCCCCAACTGACACAAGCACGGAGCAGAAGCCTGCGACCACCTACCAGATGACCTCAGTAGAGACCACACACTCGCACACACACCTATTTGGGGGTGGGTGGGGGAAATTACAAGGAGAGATCTTTCGGTTTGGTTGTGGCTTTTTTAGCAGTTTTTGCTTCAAAACCATTTCACCCATTTAATTCTGTTTCTGTTTCCCTTACGTCCTAGGGAAAAGCAGCCTTCACAGACATTTCTCCTACTCCCTTCTCTCCAGTACTTTTGGTATCCTGCCAAATTAGAAAATATCTCTGTGGAACTGACCCATAAATCCTTCCATCTATACTGCAAAGCAATTAGGGGCCAGAGATTGTAAAGAGACCTTCCATACAGAATATTAAATCCTTGAAGGACCACCGGTACACTTCTGCACAGCTGTTTTCCCCCTAACACAATGGCAAAGCATGCAGCTGATAAATACCTTATTCTCTTCCAAAAGTAGTTTAAATCCAAAGAAGATGGACCAGCACTGCCATATAAAACCCAGCATTTCCATCAGCCTTGTGATTTTTCCATTCAGAACTGAAGGGAAAAGAGGAGCAGGTGTACTGATACCTTGCTAAGGGTATCACCAATTCATGAAAGCAGCCATGAATTACAAGTTACAGCAAAGAAAAAGAAATTACAAAGTTAGACCTTCATGGTCTAACAGTAGTCTATAGTATTTTCAAAGTTTTTAGATTCTGAAGGGTGTTTCAACCACCACAGATTACAGCTCCAGGAAATTTATCTGAAATTAAATCAAGATCCCTGGCACTATGAACTGCTCCTTCCCAGGCATCTGGAGTCCAGTTCAAAGCCTGCAATAGAGCTCGAACAGCCTGTTAGGGTATGTCTTAAACCAGAAAGGGCAAAGCCAAAGATCTGCACTTAAATTAACGCACCTTTAAGTGTTCCCCGATTCTACACTGACAGATCTACCTTCTTAGGATCTCTACACACCACTGCTCTGTACGTCAGAAATGCACTTCTATGGCAGTTACACTTTAAGATTAATGGCCCTTCAGCCTGCCCAGAAATGAATACTGGGCTCCTTGCAAAGCACAATAACAAATGACAGTCACCTTGAGTTAACAGATCTCAGGACAACACAGATCTGCCTTCCAGTTTGCCTGCTGCAACCCACATTACTAGGTAAACAAGGACATTCATGTGGGAAACACATACAGTTCTCGCCTTCACTGGAAATGCTTTTCTCGCTCATCCAGGTAACAGTCATGGTAGAATACAAGTCACTACGGAGTGATGGCATGGAGAAGAACCGCCACATACAAATTTGCAGGACAAAGCACACCTGCTGAGAGGGAAGGTACAGTGAAAACAAGTGGAGTTGATTCAACCAGCTGAACATTCACAGAGTCAGATCCCCTCAGCACTCTGGGGCACTCCAGAAAGCAAGGTCCACACTCGAAAAACTTGCACCCAAAGGAAGTTGTCATGGTGGGGTTTTTTGGAATTGGGAAGGAGGAGATGGGGGAGGGCTGTGGAGGATGACTCTTGTGAAACTTCCAGAGCCTCCCCCAGCCCCAGGTAAAAGTTGGACCTGCCTCTGGTCAAGCCCAGGCCAATCAGCGTCTCTGGGATCAAGGTATTTAAGAGGGGACCCTACTGAACCACTTCTTCTCTCCCTTTTGTTTATGTGTCCTTGTTTTCTCTCCTCCTGTCTTTCATGTTGGGGAGTTTTTTCTAAGGAACGCAGTTGGTGAGGAAAGCGAGGGAGAAAGGCACCAGAGCAGAGTGTTTCCCCAGAGCCCTGTGGTGAGCGAAATGTCAGGGAGATGATTGTCTCTGAGCTGAGGGGATCGATGGTGGTGACAACGTCCAGGATGTGGCAGTACACAAAGAACCCCATGCCAGTGGGCAGAGAGACTGCACAGGAGCACAGGATGCACCCAAAGCAATCCCATTTGGGACGAACTCATGAGGAGGAAGAGGATTGCCTGCTGTGAGGTGGACACCCCATGGCAGCAGGGGAAGACTGAGAGGAACCCTCTTTTTCAGGAAGGAGGAGCTGCCATGGACCATGAGTAATGGCCAGATGGACCGCACACCCCCACCCCTGCCCCGCCTTGCACCGATGGTGGGGGTGGAGGCAGCCAGGAAGATGGGAGGATTTAAGATCGGGTTGTATTTATTTATGTATTCCTCTCACTATCCTACTCTGAGCTAGTTGGTAAATGGTGTCAGTAAATTAAATGTATGCCTTTTCCCCAAGTCTACTCTGGTTTTTACCCATCATTATAAGTAGTGAATTGACCCTCCCTGTCCTAATCTCAATCCTTGAGTCTTTTTAGTTGAATTTTCTCCCTCCACATCTCTGTGGGGATGGGGGTAGGGGGAAGAGTGAGCAAGTGACTGCATGGTTCTTCGTTGTTGGATGGGGAAATCGGTTAAAATCACAACAGCACGCTCAAGTGCATTTTAAGGTGAGAATTTAGGTGGACAAATATTTAATCACTGATTCTTAAACTGATACAAAAAAACCAAAATTAATAAACTTCCTTTAATAAATTTAAATGCCACTCTTTGAGAGCGAACACCTCTATAACTATTTTTAACTTGCAGAGGCAGTGGTTGTGTACTTGTATTCACAGTTCTTCTCCAGCAGTCAGTCACTTCCCACACATCAGGAAATCCAAGAGACAAAAGTGTGCCCAAATCAGCAAGCAGCCTGCAACAGCTTCTAAGAACTGCTAGGAATCTGAGTATCAGCATTTCACCTAGACAACAGCTCAAAAGCTTGAATATTACAACTAATTTCTCTACCTTGGCTTCAGGAAGGCATTTGACTTCACCTTCCACAGCATCCTCACAGGCAAGCTTAGCAAGTGTGGGTTAGATGAATGGACAGTGGGGTGGATTGAAAATTGGCTGAAAGACAGAGCTCAAAGACTGGGTCCTGTCCTGTTTCAATATATTCATCAACAACCTGGATGAGGGAACAGAGTGCACCGTCAGCAAGTTTGCTGATGACACAAAACTGGAATGAGTGGCTGACACACCAGAAGGCTGTGCTGCCATTCAGAGAGACCTAGACAGGCTGGAGGGCTGGGCAGAGAGAAACCTTATAAAATTAATGTGCCCTCATGGCCGAGACCACCAATGGCATCCCGGTGTGCATCAAGAAGTGTGGCAAGAGCAGGTTGAGGGAGGTTCTCCTCTCCGTCTACTCTGCCCTGGTGAGGCCACATCTGGAGTACTGTGTCCAGCTCTGGGTTCCCCAGTTCAAGAAGGACAGGGAACTGCTGGAGAGGGTGTAGAAAAGGGCTACAAAGATGATTAGGGGGTTGGAACATCTCTCTTATGAGAAAAGGCTGAAGGACTTGGGTTTTTCAATCTGGAGAAGAGAAGACTGCGGAGGGATCTTATCAATGCTTATAAGTACTTAAAGTGTGGGTGTCTGGAGGATGGGGCCAGTCTCTTTTCAGCAGTGCCCAGTGTCAGGACAAGAGGTAAAAGGCACATGAACATAGGAAGTTCCATCTAAACATGAGGAGGAACTTCTTTACTTGAGGGTGGCAGAGCACTGGAACAGGCTGTCCTGAGATGTGGTGGAGTCTCCATATCTGAAGACATTCAAAACCTGCCTGGACACCATCCTGTGCAACCTGCTCTAGGTGAACCTGCTCTGGCAGGGGGGTTGGACTAGATGATCTCCAGAGATCCCTTCCAACCTCTATCATACTGTGGTTCTGTGATTACCAAGACATATCAGTTTTACTTATATGTGATGCCGTGTTGATTTGCATGTTGATATCATCCTTTCTTTTTTTTAAGCCAGTGGCCAGAAGTTAAAAATCTAAGTGTATTCACAACTGAATTTTAGTTTCCTCACTGATTTAAACCATCTCTTCAAAATTTGATCTACCCTGACATTATTATGAATCTTTTTAAAGAAAAGTAAATATGTTCACTTGCTATTCTGTAAAGATGGGGCAAATGCTTAACAGAAGGTAGAGGGACCACTTGCTGATAGGTATGTTTGTCAAGAAAAGGCAATCCAGACAAAGCTCTCTTTGCCTGACAAAGAAGATTCAAAAACTAAAAAGATAAACTAAAATTAAACAAAACTAAAGTCATTTGCCATACTTCTCCTTTGAGGTCAAGAGTGTTCACACCTGAGGTTTTCCTTTAGGAACTTACCTGCAGGAAGACCCTGAGGGACTCTGTCAAGAAATAAGCAGACTGGAGTGGCTACAGAAGAGCAAAAGCACACTGAGTCTGAGTAATCTTTACAAACTTTAGATTTACTTTGACATGTTCCTTCCAGTACATTACGACTCTGAACACCAGGGACATGGGAGGGTGGGGACACAAAAAGTTTCACACCAAAATGTTACAGAGAAGATAAAATTATTTTTGTAAGCGCAGAACAGCAAAACTCTTCCTCCATGCAGCTCTCAGGGCACTTGCATGTGCTACTTCACACGGTGAGAGTAATTAGATAAAACATCTTGGTCCTTTGACCTAGGGAAGTTGACTCTAACAGCTACGGCAACTTACATCCTACACAAAATTTTTTTTCTTGTTCTTTTTTTTTCCCTTTTTTTTTAGGGGGGAGGGTATTTCAGGAACCACCCATTCAAGAAGTCTTTCCCATCCACTAGAAAAGATGAGCTTTATCCAGACCTTACAAGCAGCCTACTGCTACTAGACCCACTCCAGTCAAAATCTGAACTATTTTTAAATCTTGTAACTTGAGCATATTGCCTTTATGTCCAGAGAATAATTGTTCTCTGAAGTCAGTAGCTTTCTAGGCCTATGTGCTAAAACTCTGGAAATACTGCACCTGTCAAGATGCACTTCAAAACCAGACTGGAAGCCCAACAGAGGGACGTTGTCTTTATACCCAGCTCACTGTTAGCATTATTATTGGGTTTTTTTCCTGTAGCGTTAACATATTAACACACATCTCCATTATTTTGTAATGAGAATTAAAAACCCGGGTATTAACTCTGACTTAGAAACCCAGCAGTTTACACACTACTCTGCAGCCACCTGCTAAAAGGTGGCTAATGAAGAAAAAGTCCATTTCAGACTTAAACTCACTCGGGATCTGTACCTCCACAGCAATATTACTGGGAATCAAGAAGTAAGGAACAGCTTACAAATAAGGTAACAGGTAATCACATATTGTGTAGAATCCCCGTCTGACTCATGCTCCCTCCAACTAATTCCCCATGGAATGTTAAGTCAGGACAAGAGCCACCTTTTTCCTTCAAAGTCAGCAGAGCTTTGCCAACAGCAGCAAGCACAAGACAAAGTGTGTCAATTCCAAGCCCACAAAAGTTGGGTGGCTCAGCAGAGGAGAGCTCTCAGCAGCAAGAGTTACCTGCAAACTGACCATCACCGGTCCGTGTTTGCACTGCGCTGGCTCATCTCCTTGTGAAAGAAGTGGATGCCACAGACCATGCACCTTCGCAGTGACAAGGAAGTAAAATTTCTCCCCATTACAATCCTAGAATAGATCAGCCAGCTCTACAGTGTTATTACATGTCTAGTAGATAATGTTGTCTCTACACTGAACATCTACCCACTGCCCACTCCTCATCCTTGACAGGCTCTCACCCTTGCACTTCACTACGACTTGTGTATGTTAACACACAAGATCAGAACCATCTTTTTTTATACATTAGTACAAGAAAGGCATGAAACTCCACCTCAGCTAATATCAAGATGGTATTCTTCCAGCCTTCTACAAAAGAGGTCACCAGTCCAAGCTTACTGCCCATTCCTTGTTTGGAGCAGACACTTTTACCCCCCAGTCCTCATCACCTTAACAGACAGCACCTAATTCATCTGTCCCACCCTGCCTTTATCTTTTCCGTACCATTTCCCCCACACTCTGGGAGGATCCTGCTTCAGGAAGAGGCAGGAAGTTTACCTGGTGTGATCGGGCGGGCACGCTGTTTACCAGACCCTCTGTCTCGGAGGGCGACTTCTGCGGAGCCTGCTTAACCGGTGACATCAAGCTCTCAGATGTACTGCAGCTGACGAGGTGGCAGAGCAGAGTTTGCACGACAACGTTCAAGAGGCACAAAAGAAAAAAAAAGAACAAAAAAGAACAAAAACAAAAAAACGAGTGATGGCAAGATGAATGTGGCAGATTATGCCAAAGTAAAAATGAACACAGTGGATTTTGAAATAAACACACATAATTCTCCATCTCTCCCCGGACACTTTCCTATCCTTGCTCCCAGAGCCTCACTGATAAACAACATGAAGGAACAACTATTAACATGGGGCAACAGCTCCTCCAAAACCTGTATTCCCTAGACATTCCTATTCAACCCAACCTGTCTAAAACCATATGGATTTTCTTCACTGTAACTTCAGACTCAGTGGTAGACAGCAATTATTTTCTAACTATGAGCTAAATAGTCCCAGGCACTGAGGCAAGTGTTACACCAGTGCTACAGTTAGAGCAAACACTTGCAGAAGCCAGCAGCTCTCCACCCCAGAAAGGTGCTTCCTACCAAATTCCGCCTTAGTTCCCTTGCTTTTGGTTAGGCTACAATCCCAAAATAATTCTGCCCACTCACAAGAGACACTAGTCTCTGGAGCAATTACTTTAAGTGACATGTGACATGTAAGCTATGTGTCCTGATATTGGTATTTGAATATCAAATCTTGTTTGGGAAACAAGAAAACTGTCATGTAGTGAGAACCAACACCCCTAAAAGAAGGTTGCCAGTTTTCACTCTGATTGCTTCTTTCCATCTGCTGAAAAGAAAACAAGCCTGTGATAGAGAAATTAATATCACAGAGCTAGGTATTTGAGTAAATGCCCTTCAATTTAACCGTAGTAGCTTCCGGGCAATGCAGTAATGGGTCTCTAAATGCTAGGTCTACCTCCTTGTACCCAAGCATCTAAAAAAAATAGCCACCTCCTTGACAGCAGACACTGGAGTCTCCTTTGCTACCACAACCCTCTGACCACTCCGCATACTTTTCCCCCAATCTTTGTAGACAGACAGTGTACAAAGCAAGTACAGAAACAAAGAAATGAGGACAGTGACATTAAGCAGACCATCTCCTCACGGGGTAATCATTTTTTATGCTTTGGCAAGTCCAACAATAGAAGACTTAGCTCCTCAGACATGCAGCAGTAATAAAAATAAAAATACTGTCCCCAGCCATCACAGCAAGGGACTTCTACTGCCTCAGAGACAAAGCAGCTCTTCTGTTACTAAAACTGTGTAATCATGAATTGCTTGCTTTATTCACAAAATTCCTCAAATCTACACTATCTAAAAGTCATAATTCAGGTTTAAGCAACTAATGCACTTAGATCACTGCGAGTTTTCAGGCATCCAAGCTGTCTGAGCCATAGGAACATTTTTTGGGAATTCACTGTTATTTTGACACAGAAACGACTCTGAATTTCCTGTGGTTTAGTCAATGCACTAGCAAGTTTTTTGTTGGAAGAGATGGAGGGACACCATCTGGGATAAGCAGCAATCCCACCCCAGCTAAGACATGAGACAATGAAACCCAAGCACCCAGTGAAATGCATCATCCCTTTGCTAACAGACTCCAGCACAAACTACAGTGAAGTCGTGTTAGTAGAGAGCTAGCTGGTTAGTCAGCAAAGGAAGAGGAAATGTGCACACATACACACAGGTATTAACAGCAACCACCAACTTGATTAGTTACCATGGTGTCTAGTGGGACTGGAAGAGAAGACCCAGCCCTGTTACATTCCCAATCTGGCGTCTATATCAGGATCTCTGTAAGGAGAGGAAGGTAAGCAGGATCCGATCCCAGCATACCAAGGCAGAAAGACAAAAAAAATAAAAAAAACACCAAAGTCAGAGCATGAATGGAGACTGCGGCCATGCAGGGGTTCCAGATGCCGCGCAGCGCCCCAGCCCACCTCAGTTCAAGGCAGAACGGTTATCTAAGAGTAAGTGCATCTCACCACCACCACCACCACCACCATCATCACACACTGGGTTAGCATCATGTAGAAGACAGTCCGTAAGTTTGGAGGGGGTCACAGCACACTTGGTTTCTCTTTACATGTCATGCAGAGCCAGCATGGTCAGTGAAAGCAGTATTTAAACTTTAGAGATTACTCTCCCAAGAGAGTAGTTAAATCTACTACAAGAAATTACAGTGCATAAACTACTGCTCCAGGCTCAGCTTTTTCAGGAAGACGCTGGAGAGCAGGTCACCAGGAAGCAAGGCAAGCAGACCACCTCACGCACTCTGCTGGTGCATGACACTGCAGGCTTCTTTTCAGTTCGTAGGGGGAGGGCACATGCAGAAAGGGGAAACCAGGCTTTCCACACAATTTTGAGCACACACAGCCGCCTTTGCTATATTAAGCCTTACCATTGGGCAATAGCCAACTCACTTTCTCTAAACTCTCCAACTGGGAAAAGGACAGGGCAAAGTTTAATATAAAAATCCCCACAAGCTTATTTTTGGCCTTATTTTCTTTTATCCCACAGGCAACCCAAAGAACCTGCAGGAAGCAGGAACAGTTGTTGGGGAAAGAATAGAAGAAAGTTGTAAGTTTGGAGTTTGTTTCTAAGACTACATACATAATTTTCATTCTTTCTTATAGAAGCAAATTACTAGCTAATTAGAGAGGAGAAAAATCCGAAGTGCCTCCCCCACCAGCACCAAACTTCATCACCACAGGATTCCAGTCCGCCTTTGTTAACTCTGGTAGTTTTTTCATATTCCCATTCAAAAGGTCTGTGCTTCACTTTAGAGTTATCCTCCTAACACTAAAAACTTTGCAGGCATGGTAACAGTCAACAAAAAACAGATAGTGAATGAGAATGAGTGCAGAGTGGCTACTCCTTCGTTACTTAGAAGTGTGGTGATGAATGGGGCTTTGGCAAGTATCCTCCAGGCTCAGGAGCCAGACACCAGCAACTGAAAAATCCAGTCTTAATCTCAACACAAAGCATTCCTTAAAAATGCATGTGTGGCGCTTTTCCTCTGGGGGCTGGTGGTGGTAGGGGGAAGCAGGGCTGGAGGGAAGCAAAGTAGAACAGACCACAGCATAGCTAGGGGATCTCAGATTAAATTTTCTAGGGCATAGATGTTCGTGGCTGGGGATCGGCTCCAACATTTTGTGATTTTTGGGTGCAACTCATGGTCTATAGGTCTTTTCAAGTACAGTACAAAGATAAATATCACAGACAGATGATCAGTGTCCCACATGGCCATATCCTATCTCTAGCCACAGTTGCTAAGACTTGGCTGAAACAACTCCCAGCCCCCTCTAAGCCCTCCCTCTGTTCCTGCCACTGTTCCTCACATCATCTGCAGGTGAGGAGGGAGATCTCTTACCCAGAGTATCGTTTTTTTGAGTTGTTCTTTCTGATGACAAGACACACGACAATAGAGATGAGCGGTGAGAGACCTGTAACCGTACCGATGACTATCCCTGCCACCATGGCAATGGGGAACGCAGGCAGGCTGTCTGGGGAGAGAAGGGAGAAAACATTCAACTCTTCTGCATTCCCTGATGAACAGAAGTGCAAACCATAAATGCTCTTGACCTTGGATTCACTTAGAGCAGAACACACTAATGTAATATCCAGGAATTACAACATGCAGCCTAAGTGGTAGCAATTACAACATGCAGCCTAAGTGGTAGCAATAGCAAGCAGCCAGCAGAGTGTGCCTAATGTCCTTCACGAGAGAGTTTGTATTGAACCAAGAACTTTTACGTGTCAGGGAACACAAGTGACAACAAGGACAACTCTTGTCTCAGTTTGTATCCGAAGGGGAAAAAGTTACGTTCATCTGGCAATTCCCAGCAAGGTCAACAGGAAAAGGCAGCCACACTGGAAAGCAGATTTGAACGCAGAGCTTTGCCAACTAACTGAGAGCTGAACGGTGGGTGTTCTCTGGGCAATATGCAGCAAGAAGCCTAGTTAATACCCATGATGACTCTTAAGAGTGTTTATACAAGATTCACCTGGACAAGCAGGACAAGTGGGCTCATGTGAACCTCACGAGGTGAAACAAGGGCAAAGTCCTGCACCTGAATCAGGATAATCCTCACTATCAATACAAGCTGGGGATGACGCAATAGAGAACAGCCTTGAGGAAAAGGACTTGGGTGTACTGGTGGATGAAAAGCTGGACATGAGCCTACGTCATGCACTTGCAGCCCAGAAGGCCAATCACATCCTGGGCTGCATCAAAAGAAGTGTGACCAGCAGGTTGAGAGAGGTGATTCTGCCCCTCTGCTCCGCTCTGGTGAGACCTCACCTAAAGTGCTGTGCCCAGCTCTGGAGCCCTCAACAAAAAAAGAACATGGACCTGTTGGAGCAGGTCCAGAAAAGGGCCACAAAACTGACCAAAAGGCTTGAGCACCTTCCCTATGAAGGCAGGCTGAGAGAGTTGGGGTTGTTCAGTCTGGAAAAGATGAAGTTCTGGGGAGATTTTATAGTGGCCTTCCAGTACCTAAACGGGGCCTACAGGAAAGTTAGGGAGGGACTGCTTACAAAGACAAATAGCAATAGGACAAGAGGGAATGGTTTTAGACTATAGAAAATTTAGTAGATAGATTTAGTCGGTAGATTTAGATTAGACATTAGGAATAAGTTCTTTACTATGAGAGTGGTGAAACACTGCCACAGGTTGCCCAGAAAGGTAATGGAGGCTCCATCCCTGGAAACATTCAAGGTCAGGCTTGATGGGGTCCTGAGCAGCCTGATCTAGTTAAAAATGTTCCTGCTCACTGCCAAGAGGGTTGGACTAGACGGGGACTTTAAGGGTCCCTTCCAATCAAACACATTCCATGACTCTGGTGTCTCAAAATACAGCTTGATATTTTTTTTATAGTCATTCTTTTCGTTCTTAAGTCAGGATCATTATACGACACTAGAAGTATCCTTATAGGAACACAGTAATGCTTTACTCACTTTTTCCCCATTATAATTTTGAGGTTAGGCAAAGAAAGAGCAGCCAGAAATAAAAGCCAATCGGAGAATGAGTACAAAAGACTTAAATAATACACGGACTACTATTGCAGATTTTCTCTGTAATGTACAATATCCCTTTCCTCCTCCCACAGCGTGTTTAATGCAAGGAACACCTTAGACCAGAGGGTTTCTTTAAAGACTCCATGCTACACTACCAACTCACATCAAATACAAGTGAATTAGCACAAGATCCAATAGGTGAAAAATCTTATATAGAAAAATCTTTCCCAGATGCCTGCATCTGATCATCACAGAATCGTTGAGGTTCAAAGGGATGTCTTGAGGTTGTCTAGTCAAACCCCTCTACTCAAGTAGAGTCATCTAGTACAGTTTGCTTAATACTCTGTCCAGTTTGGTTTTGACTGTCTGTAAGGATGGGAGATTCCATAAGCTGTTTGGGCAACCTATTCCAGCGTTCAGCCACAGTAAAAATGTGTTTTCTGATGTTCAGACAGAATTTCCTGTCTTTCAGTTTATGCCCATAGTGTCTTGTTCTGTCACCAGGCACCAATGAAGAGCCTGTCTCAGCCTTCTTTACATCCTATCGATGTACATAAATACCTGGGGAGAGGATTTCCCTGAGCCTTTCTTCTCCTTTGCAGGCTAGGCAACCCTAGCTCTCTCAGCTTCTCCTCATATGAAACATGGACCAGTCTCTTTATCATCCTAATTGCCCTTTGCTGGACTCATTCCAGCAAGGACCATGGACCGTACTTACACAAAGCATCTCTAGCCAGTTTGCAGTCTCTAGAATCAGCTCATTTTGACATATCAATACAGGACAGTATCCTGAAGCAGGGCCATTGTACTAAGAACACATGGCTTGAATTTATTATTGTTCATTTTGAGTTCAGCAACTTAAAGAAGGGCTATCTGATCTCTAGCAGTTTCACTGATCATACAAGATTTTGGCCAAAAATCACGTCAGCAGATTTGCTAGCCCTCAAGTGCAAGATGCCAATTCATAGCAACATGATAATTCAGAGTCTTAGCAAAAATTTAGAGGAAGATATTGCTTCTTCCAGCAGCTGATAGATCCTCCTGCTATTAAGGAAGAAAGTCCTACAAATGGTAATATTTTTCAGGTACATAAGACTGAGACCCACGCAAAGATAAACAAATTTATTCTGAGGCATATAAGAAGCAAAAGTTCCCTAGTTTCTGTGCTTTTTCACTTTTCCAAGTACAGGAATAACTGTCTGAAAAAGAATAAAAACGAACATGCATTTCTGTTAGAAGACCAGCTGTTGCCTTGTACACAACCAAAAAAAACCCCACAACACACCTCTTTGGAGCAAGAAAGTAAGCAGCAATCTAAAAGTATAATGCAGTGTCTGCCGAAAGAGTAATGTTAAAAAATTAATACTTTGTCATTTATTTCACTTAGGTGGGGTTTTTTTGCTTGGTTGAATTCAAGTGAAGGACAGCAGCTATGTTCTGTGGACAGAGTTTTTTAAGACTGTATAAATAAAACGCAACTGTTTGCATGTGAAACTAGAGTTTGGCTTTACTGCTCTTCAGAACATGGTCCAACAGACTACAGAAAACTCACACAATTTTATAACCACATAGTTTAGCTGAAGAATGTCTCCCGGCCATATTTTTCAGCATTTCAGTTACATGAATTCCTCATAAGTACTTGCAGAGCAGCCAATGACTTGATTATACCAGTCCCAGCTACTGAACCAAACACCAGCTCTGAAGGCCAGCATTTAAGTTAATAGCTTAACACAAGGCAAAAATCCAGCTTTTCGAAGAACGCTTTTCACTAAATATCACCGTACTTGAAAGCAACTTCCATTTTTGCTGAAAGTGTGTTAGTATCTCTTTTACAAAATAGGCAGGGAACTAAGTTTCCACTACTGCTAGGCATAAAGATTTTCATATAGCAATTCTAATTTTTTTCCCCCATGAGATTTCAGATCAAAGACGGACTACCCCGAGATAACACAAGGTGTCTTGAATACAGCGTTAAGTAGCTTCCTATTACAAGTAGAGGCAGCCTAAAGTAAGGACTTCAGTACAAATTTCTGTCATTTAGGGTCTGAGCAGTAGTCCTTTCCAGATTCACATGCACTAGTGAGAGAACTGCCTTGCTCCTCACCCCTGCCAGCAGGATTCTTCCAACACAGTTAATGGAGCTGTTCGTACAAACACTGCAAATACTGCAGTGAAAAGCAGCTAGCATTTTTAAACAGAACTTATTAAAATTTTAACCTATAACTTATGAAATGTTTAATCCAAAATTTATGGCTAACCAATCACCTATGAGATCATTTAAATGTGCAAAGTATGTATGTGGCTTTGAACAGTTCACAACACCAGACATATGATTCAGAACAATTAAATGTACACATAGTTCAAAAAAAGTTTTTAAAGTTTTGGTTTTTTTTAAAAGGCATGAGTCAACATGTACTTATTTCAATTGAAAAAATTTTCCAGCTCAGCTCAGGAGGAGCTACAACCTGTTACAAGAGCAGTATTTTCAGGTAAAGTCAGAATGCAAGACAGCATTACAGCTACAGCTTGAAAATCTATTTTCAAGGTCTTCTTAAGAATATGAAAAGAACTGTTGCAGCATTTTTCCGATGATGAGAAGTACTGCCAAATATAGGGTTCCTCTCACATTTAGTGACGTTCTTCTTGTCCAAGTGCCCCACTGTCTTGGTTTAGGAGACAGGGGAAAGCCTCCCTTGAAACCGGGA